GAACAATATAAACATATATATATATATAAACGAAAATTGAAATAACGATGAGTAAAATTTAAAAAAATGAATTGATGGATGTATTCACATAAGTCGTTCAACTTTATAAAATTACACAGTTCCTTTTACGTTTTTGCACCGGAGCGGGGCAAAGAACAGCGCGAATCGCCTCATCGAATACATTTTTAAGACCTTTTTGGGTAAGGGCAGAACATTCAAGATATCTAACAGCAGATATATCTTTTGCCATTTGTAGCCCTTGAGGGTATGTAATAGGCGATTGAGATTTTTGACGAAGCTTAAGGATTGTTTCCTTATCTTCCCGAAGATCGAGTTTTGTACCAACAAGGATGATGGGAATATTGGGTGCATGATGAGTAATTTCTGGGTACCACTATACATGAAAAACACGACGTATGTACATTAGGATAGTGAATTCTGTTAAATATAACTATATAACTATAATTTTTTTTTGTATAATTAATAATTTATATGAATAAGACCAAGAACGATTGTTTACCTTGCCCCGAACGTTTTCGAAAGAAGAAGGACTAACCAAGGAGAAGCAAATCAAGAATACATCCGTTTGAGGATATGAAAGAGGTCGCAAACGATCATAATCTTCTTGACCAGCAGTATCCCAAAGGCCAAGATTAATGGGCTTGCCGTCGACCATCACATTTGCGGAGTAATTATCAAATCTGAAGGAGACATGTAAATGAATACATTCCAAGTATTAAATGTTTTATATCAAAGATAGTAATAATTCATACTTACACAGTTGGGATATATTCACCGGGAAATGCATTAGTGGTATAACTAATTAGAAGGCAAGTCTTGCCGACGGCACTATAATAAATTATTGTTATATTAAAAATATGAGCTTTCAAGACCAAAGCTTTAATGCATTCAACTTTTATTTCCAAAATAATTAGTGTTTGTTAATTTTCATCAACTGATCTCTATGTCACTAAAGGCATATACATCTGTCATCTTAAGTTATCATAGATTCGAGCTCTCTGTTAACTAATTTCGTATTTATCTTTTTCTGACTTTTATCAGCAGACAATAAAAACTCTAATAAATTCAAATCCATCAAATTCTCAACATTTCAGCTCAAGATGATGGTAAAAATATAGTACATCTGTTCCAGATTTGTAAATTGCGAAAACTTACCCATCGCCAACCACAACACATTTAATGGCTTGCATTTTTCAAAAAAAGATTAATGAAGCAGATCTATAAGCTTTTCAGCGAAAGAAAAATGACCAAGTTATATATTGTTTTTCTTTTTTATGTGGCAAATGAAGGTAAGGAATGAATTGGTTTCTTTCGACTGTGAAGGACTAAGCGTTTAAAACAAAAAAAATAGATAGTTTTAAATGGATGCCTGTCGTGCTACGGTTGTGATTAGTTTATGCAGTCGAATTATTGGGCATAGAAATGCATTAAATTTTAAAAGACATTAATTATTGATTAAATTTATCCGGCGCAGTATAAAGATTTAATTTATGCGCTAACGCTAAAGAAATATGGTTATTTTGTTTGATACAGTACTTTATATTTTCAATCTTAAAATGATTTGTTTTTTGGTTAGTATTAATCTGTACATTGTATCATATATAATACGTATATAACATTATTAAACAATATATATCGATATTTAGAACCCGGGGCCGAGTTAATATTTTTCTAGGTTATGTATCAGCATGTTACTATTGCCATATTTATCTCATAAAGGAGAATCTATTTGTACAGTAATACAGTGCACGAGACCAATCAGATTGTGTATTATAAAATTTGCAAATTTATTAATTATTAATGCCAATTAAAAATTTTTAAACCCAAAAATTTTAAAGTTAGAATTACAGTAAGTTTACGAAAAGAAGAAATTTGTTAATAAACTCTTATACTGTATATCAGCGTTCATTTTTCACGTGCGCAAAAGTGTGCGCACATGAAAAAT